TGCACAAAGGCTTTTTGATAAAATTTATAGATAGCGTATACGTTACCTTAGCTAAAGGATTTATAAAATGGGTGCAGAACGTCTACATGGCCTGCAAATCTGTAGCAAGCAACGGCCTTTTTTCATTAACTTTTTTACTCCACAAAGGTACTTTCTCCTTTGGGTTCTGATATTTGTTTAGAACCCTCATCTTGCGCTATCAGACAGATTTGAAACATCCATGTTTTTTGCATAATTCATTAGGATATACATTGATTATATAAACTGATTATATTTTATTATTTCTGAATCACATCATTCGATTGCACCTCCAATGGGCTGAATAACATGTCTGGGTGTACTACAGCATGATCTCTAGGTTAGAAATGGATGCCAGTAGACAAAGACTCCTTTATTCATGCCATAAGTGATTTTTATTTTCATGCCTATGTTGAATTTATTCACGATTTGGGCATTCTTATCCCATCAGATATTTCTCAAATAATTGCATTAAATATGAGTAAGATATATAAAGATGCTTCCCATCCTTTGGGGTTAGGGTAAATTTTCAAAATTAATGTAATTTTCAGGACACTCTATCTTTTCTGTGGGATTTCTATACATTGGAAAATATTTTCAAAAAGTCAACACATTGTTCCGTACATTTATGTGTGGTTCTTCAGTTCTGGAGATATCTTTGAAAAAAAGATGGCGTCTTTGCTTTCCTCAATCTTGAATTAAACTATTATGCAGACCTTTTGATTAATATCCAATTTTAGCCCCCTTCGCTTAATATAAATGCTTTTTTCTGGGCTCTTCATATTCATATGCAGCATCTTTAGTTCATTAAACTGTTCTGAGTTCAAAATATAAACAGTCTGATTATATATTCTGCCATTATTATATCCATTTGAAATTTGAGGTATATTATTTCTAGAAAATTCAATTTTGACTCTTTTTCTCATGCAAAATTGGTGCGAAACCATAATGTTGATTAAAAACACCCTGTTATATGGAATGGATGCTGGGATTTTTACTTCAGATCAGCCTGTGTGGCCGTAGGTATGCGTTCAGGTCAGTCCCTTTCTACACAAACATAATGAGGTCCAGTATATTTTTGGTTGAATAATCCAACAGCTGTTGACATGTTTGATACTGATCTTGAGGACAGGTCCCTGCAGTTTTCTTGCAAGGTTTTTCAGAAGTGGTTTGCCCTGGCCCAAGGTCACCCAGCTGGCTTTGTGGCTAAAGCGGGACTAGAACTCACCTTCTCCTGGTTTCTAGCCTGGTGCCTTTACCACTGCACCAAACTGGCTGCCTTAGATCAACTATTAAATGGTAAAAATGAGTTTTTAACAGTTCCTGTGTGGAAGGATGAATATCATTTGTCCACTGGCAGTAGGTACAACAATAACATTCACTGACATCTTGATTTGGACCAGCAACATTTTTGGCTTCAGAGACACCTAATCTGTAAGAAATTAGCATTGTATCCTGTGAGACAAAAAAATTCCACAATTAGTCTTCATCAATACCTGCTACTGATAAATCAATTTGTTGGGAAAATTTTAAAAACTAAATGGAATAAGGAATGGAGATCCCCATTTTGTCTAAATAGTGGGAAACTGTCTTAAGATCAGTATCAAACATGTCACCAGCTCTTGGATTATTCAACCAAAAAATATACTGGACCTCATTATGTTTGCACAGAAAAGGAATGAGTACAGTAAATCATCATGTTGCTGGAGATGTAAATCCTGCTTCTTTGAAACATACTTTTTGTGAAGCTAGGCTTCAGCAGTATGTGAATCAAGAACTACAAGCTGGGTTTCGAAGAGGCAGAGGAACTAGAGATCAAATTGCCAACATTCGCTGGATCATGGAGAAAGCACGAGAGTTCCAGAAAAACATCTATTTCTGCTTCACTGACTATGCAAAAGCCTTTGATTGTGTGGATCACAACAAACTATGCCAAATTCTTAAAGAGATGGGAGTACCAGACCATCTTACCTGTCTCCTGAGAAATCTGTATGTGGGCCAAGAAGCAACAGTTAGAACCAGTCATGGAACAACCGATTGGTTCAAAATTCACAACAAACTATGCCAAATTCTTAAAGAGATGGGAGTACCAGACCATCTTACCTGTCTCCTGAGAAATCTGTATGTGGGCCAAGAAGCAACAGTTAGAACCAGTCATGGAACAACCGATTGGTTCAAAATAGGGAAAGGAGTACAACAAGGCTGTATACTGTCACCCTGCTTATTTAACCTATATGCAGAGTACATCATGAGAAATGCCAGGCTGGAAGAATCACAAGCCGGAATTAAGATTGCAGGGAGAAACATCAACAACCTCAGATATGCAGACGATACCACCCTCATGGCAGAAAGTGAAGAAGAACTAAAGAGCCTCTTGATGAGGGTGAAAGATCATGGCATCTGGTCCCTTCAATTCCTGGCAAATAGGAGGGGTAGAAATGGAAGCAGTAACAGACTTCATTTATTTGGGCTCCAATATCACCCCAGACGGAGACTGCAGCCATGAAATTAAAAGATGCTTGCTCCTTGGGAGGAA